AGTACGCGAGGGCCAGCGCGCCCAACACGACGCGCACGTACTCGGCCGCCGGCGTCACCACGCGCGTGCCCAGCCCCAGCTGCCACGGCCCGTCGTCCCACGCCGAGTCGGGGAGGTCGAACGCCACGTTGACGCGGAAGAGGTCGGTCACGACGCCGACCATCGGACGCCACGGAGCCTCCTCGGAGCGTGATGCCTCCCGCGACGCCGCATACGCCGCAACCTCGAGGAGGAGCTGGTCCTTGGCGCTCCCGCCCCCGCCCGCCAGCCGGTCGAACGGCCGCTTGAGCTCGGCGAGAAACCAGAGACCAAGCTCGACCTCGACTGCGACGTCGGCGTCGGCGCTCGTTGCGCCGAGCCCCACAAAGACGTCCGTCTTGCCCGTGTAGCTCCGCTGCGTGCGGTCCGTGACCGGCACCGTCACCGAGACCTCGGCGCCGCGCCCGTCAAAGACCTGCCACGCGTCGGCCACCGCGCCCGCCGCTTGCCCGAGCCACCACTGCGCGACGTAGAAGACCACCGAGTCCTCCGAGACTGCCGCCGACGAGCTGCTTGCCCCCGCCGCCTCGGCTACCGCCCGCTGACGCGCTCGTTCGACGACAAGGAACGAGCGGGCGAGCTCGAGGTCGGCCACAAGCGCGTCGGCAACGCCGGCCCCGAGCGCGCCGACCACTGCTCTGCCGAGGAGGCTCATCACGTCGCTCCGCACGAGTTTGACGACAACATCGTCCTCCGGGTGCCGCCGGAACGCCGAGAACCGGAGCCCGCGCTGGCTCGAGCTCGAGTGCGAGCTGAACTCGACCGACTCGTTCGCGCTGCGCTCGCTCGGAGCATACTCGGCGAGTGCGGCAGCGACGGCGGCGTCGAGCTCGTCGGGCGCGGCCGGCCACACGTCGCGGACGTACGCGGCCATGAACGCGCGGAGGTCGGGCACGGTGCCGAGGCGCCCGTCCGCCACACACAGGACCGACTCTGCAGCCGCGGCGCGCGCATCCGACGCGGCAGCACGCGCCAACGCATCCTCCAACTCTCGACGCAAGCGTGCGTTCTCTTCCTCGGCCATAGTGGCGTGGGGAGCGAGTTGAGTGTCGAACATGTGCCACGTGGGCCAGCGGTGCGTTGGCGCGCGCCTGATCAAAGTTTTGTTCGGCGCGGGTGGGCGGGGGCGGCGGCCGACGGCGCCATCGGGCTCGTCCCCAGTGACTCCCCACGTCACCACAGCCACAGCCAACGTCTTGTCTTTACGGTGCGAGTAGCCCCGTACGCCGGACTGCCATGTCCGAGTCGTCAACTCTGCCCTCCGGCAGCGGCAGCGCGTCGTCGTCCGACTCCGACTCGCCATCACCCGCCGCCGAGTCCCACCCGCCACTCGCGGCCGGCTCGGGTTCGGCAGCAGGCTCGAGCCGGCCGCCGACGGCGTTGGTAGAGTCAGGGACGGCAGGCCGCGTCACGCTCGAGCGGGTGACGGGCGCGCAGGTGGAGGCCGTGAGCAACTCGATCGCCCAGGGCGGCAACCTGCTGTACAAGAGCAAGATGGCGCCGATCGCGTCGATCTTCACCGAGTTTGACGTAAAGTACGGGAGCGAGTTTGCGAGCGACGACGCGGCGGTGGCGCGGGTGAGCCGCGAGAGCCTGCCGCTCGTCTTTGATCTGCTGCCGCCGGAACGGGCGACGGCGATGACGGTGGACGAGCTGGAGGACGCGGCGCTCGAGGTGTGGGCGCGGCTCGAGACGCCGACGCAGCGGCTGGCGTTCCTCTGGTACCCGCACGCCGACGCGCCGCAGCGGTACAAGGGCGCCGACGTCGAGCCGCCGGGCAAGAAGCCGCTCGCCGTGTGGGAGGTTCCCGACGGCGAGGAGGGGGGGGACGCGCCTCTTACTCTTCGGGACGACAGACAAGATCAAGCGGGGGACGGCTGAGCCCGTGGTCCGGCTCGTGCCCGTGCCGGAGATCTACGAGCTGACGGGCGCCGAGGTGGTGGACATCTGCAACGCGGCGTCGTGGTCGCAGGCCGAGTTGAAGGCCGTCGGCGGCTGGCTGCGGCACGCGATGCGGTGCGGCGACGGCGCCCTGCGCCTCAACATGCTGCGGCGCGTGCAGACGACGCTGCTGCTCGTCGAGCTCGCGCGCGCGCCGCCGCGCTCGCTCTTGGGCCTCCACACGCACCGGCGCGGGGTGCTCGCGCAGGCGAACGTGGCGCTCGAGCACGAGGTCGACTCGCACACGGTGTTCAACTACATGCTGCGGTGCAGCGACGTGGTCGACGTGGTGGGCGGGGTGGAGGGCGAGGCTGAGGGCGGCAGGGCGCGAGTGGTGGACCACGTGGTGAGCGACACGACGCAGAGCCTCGCCGTCCAGCTCCAGCAGCTGCTGCGGATCTCGGACGCGCAGCCGGAGGAGCTGATAGCGGCGCTGTTGGAGCAACAGCAGTAGCGCCGCTACGCATCGTGCTCCCGCTCGTAGACGAGGAGGTACACGCCGCCGAGGTCGGCCTGCGGCTGAGCGTGGGCCGTCACGAGCTCGTCGTCGAGGAGCAGCCACGAGTCGGGCGCGAGCCGGACGTGCGCGACGTAGTGCCCGTTGCCCGTCGACTCGCCGCGGTGCTCGATGATCGAGCGGAGGACGTACGACCGGGGCGTGGCCGCCGCGTCCGCCGCGCAGAGGTTGCGCGGGATCTCCAGCTCCTCGGCGAGCGGGAGGCGCTTGGACACTTTCGTCGGCGCCTGCCGCGCGCGGTGGAAGACAAAGCGCTTGCACTGGAGGACGAGGACGGGCGGGAGGGCGCCGAACGAGGGCGTCCGGCGCAGAGTGTGCGTGGTCCCGCTCGCAGCGTCGACGTACTCGACGTACTCGGTCTCCATCGCCGCCACCAGCGCGTCGGTCAGCGTCCGCGCCGCGTCGAGGTCGAGCATGAGCACAAGGAACGGCTGGCGCGTGACCGACGGCGGGCCGGTCGGCCCGGCGAGCTGCGACACGAGCGTGCCGGCAAAAAGCTCGGCGGCCACGGGCGCGGCGTCGAGCCGGCGGAGCTCGTCGTCGAGCGACGAGAGAAGGAACGTCCACCACTCGTGCGCGTCGTGCTGCCGCGTAGTCTGCGTGCCGTCGGCGTCGCCGAGCGCAGCGGCCACAAACGCGTCGATGAGGCCGTAAATGTAGACCGGCTCGAACGCGGCGCCCACGCCGGCGGCACCCACGCCAGCGGCCACCCGTTGGGCCGTCTCGATGTCGCGGACGAGCGAGGCGAACGCGTCGAGCGTCGGCGTCTCCGCTGGAGAGAGGGCGGGCGTGGTTGTGGAGAGGCGGGCGAGGGCCGAGTACACGCGCGGCGGCCCGAGGAGGGCTTGGAGGACGGCGTGGACGTAGCACGCGTTGCTGCCGTTGATCATGCCGCGCCAGAGCGGCGCAGGCGTCGGTGTCGGTGGCGGGACCACTGGCGCTAGCGTGTCAGCCACCGCAGCCGCCCACACGTTCTCAGCCGCGTGCGGCGGCGCAATCGCAGGCGATGCCGCCGCCGTCCATGCACTTGGTTGAGACTTTGTGGGTGCGGGCGGGGTCTTCGCGTCTGTTGCGGCCTCATCGCGTGGCCGGGCCGCACTTTCAACGCGCGCCTCATCGGTGAGCATCGCTGGCGAGGCTGCCGTCTCGGGGACAGCAGCCTGCGCGCTCGCCGTTTCGACTCTCTGCTGCGGTACTGGGACGTCGTCTGGAATCGCCGCGTCCACGGATGGAGGCGCGGCCGCGCCGTCCGGCTTGGTTGCGGTCGTCGCCTGTGCTGGCGCCGCGCCGGCCGGCGGCTCCCGCCCGTCGACGGCCGCGCACGCAGGAGCAAAGGCAGCAGCGCCCGCAACTGCGCCCGTCGCATCCGCACGCTTTGTCGCCCCGCCCACGAACCGCGGGCGGGCGGCGACGAGGCCCGCCGCGGCAACGAGCGACGCGGCCTGGAGGCGCGCCGCCGTCGCCGCGTCGAGGAACGGCGCCTGTGCGAGGCCGGGGCCGCACGGTTCAGCCGTACCCGCTCCCGTTCCGTCTCGGCTCGCACCCCCTGTCTGCGCCCCGGCGTGTGTCGCCATACGCGGGGACGGGGCCCGAGTGGAGGGTTGCGGACTCAATGTTGGAGTTGCGGTGCAGGCTGGCGATAGCTATCGTCAGTGGGTGGGAGCTACGTGGTGATGAAGGTGGGCTGGTCGGGCGAGCGGGCGACGGCTTGCGGCTGGTGGTCGGCGAGGAGGGGACAGCTGAGGGGGCTGGGTCGGGGCTGGGTGGCTTGACATTGCTGTTGGTTGGACAATGGGTAGTATGACTTGTAATGGTTGAGGAGTGTGGGTGTCGGGGTCGGGGATGAGGATGGGGGTGAGATAGAGTGGGGAGAGGAGGAGGAGGAGGAGGAAGAGGAAGCGGAGTGCGCGATGGGATGGTGGTGAGCATGGCCAAGGCAAGGTGGTGGTGGTTGTGGCTAGGATGATAGTGATGGTGGTGAAGTAGGGGGTGAGGGTGGTGGCAGGGATGGGGGTCATGGTAGTGGAGTAGGGGGTGGGGGTGGTGGTTTGTGGTGATGGGGCGTAATGAGTATGGTAGGGGGGGATGAGGGGGGTCGTGACGTGGGTGGTGTGGCGGGCGCAAGGATGATGGGTATGGCGATTGGGCTTGAGCATTGATAAAGGTGGGTATGATGGGGCTGATGGGTGTGTGTGGGGTGTGGGCGATAGGAGCGGCGGGTACTTGGCCGGCAGAGGGAAGGCGGCGGACGTCAATTTAGTTGAAAGTTGAATTAATTGAAGAAAAGCCGGAACGGGTATCAAACGAGGCAATGACGTCCACAACAACAACCAAAGATCAAACATGGCTTGCACAGCACACCTGCAGATCAACCATGACCACCACACAACAGGGTAAACAAAAATACATTGCATGCAAAACTATTGACCACGACAAACGACAACAAAGTTGAGAATCGATAGTGTAGTGATCAAGGCCCGATGGTTGATGTGGAAGTCAAGTCGAAGAAAACAGGAGAATCAAGAAGAGTTGAAGCATGACGAATGATGATACAAAGCAACAACAAGAGCGAAAGGAATAATGAATGGGAATGCATGTCGATTATGGTCAACCATCAAAAGCAAAAGCAACCAAAGCAGAACATAAAGGCAGACAATAGCAACATCAAAGCATGTGGAACCATGAACGGCAAAGAACAAAGACCATGATAGCCAACAAGAAAAGAAACGGAAGGAATCGAATGATCAATTGACAATGATCAACAACGATCAATTGAATGTCAAACAATCGAACGAGTGACGAGTGGCGAATCATGAAAATGTTGAATGACATTCATGTCACCCACCAACCCACACATGCCACTCGGTCGAACGAGTGACACCGGCAAGTGTCAATGGGGGATGGAGATTGTCGATCAGCATCAAAGACTCAATTCACGCCCGTGCACAGCCATTCGCATGGCAGGGTGGAGAATGAGTATGATGGGGTGGGCGGGAATGTGGATGTGGGTCATGGGTGGGATGGGTAGGCGTGGCTAGGGGGCAGTGAGTGGCAAGTGGAGTGGGTGGTGGTCGGTGGGGAGGAATGGGGTGGGGCTAGGGTTGATGAGGCATCAGCTAGGGTTGACGAGGCATCAGCG